TCTCTAAAACCCTTACTTGTGCTACTAATATTTTGTATTTTGGAGTTCCCTACCTAAGCCCTTATTTGCAAAATGTCTCAAATGATTGTGTAGATGTTCTTAGTGAATCCTAATTGTGACATATAGTATTTGCATGATTTAAACTGTCTTCAAACTGGTACAAGATATGTGTGCACATGCAAAGGAAGCCATCGCTATGGCTCAAGCACTCTGTAATTTCTGCCGTTAAGCAGAATAGGGAGGTTGCTAACACTTTTTAATTTTGACATTTTGAAAGCACATGCTCAAAAGCAACCATAACTTTGGGAAAAACATATGTTCAGTTCAGACTGAATGGTCACTGATAAGATGATGAATATGAGGCAATAAGACTCTGCATTTATTTGAGCTGGTTCCCAAACCCATCCATATTTGTTAAAGCAATACTTATTCTATCATGTAAATGTCATTTTACAAAGGAAGTTTAGTAGTGGGTCAAAACTATGGCATGTAATTTGATGGTGTCTTAATTAATATTTAGAAGAGGTGTTTTGGGTGCACTTTGTTTCTCATCCATTTTAAGACCTTAAATTTATTTCTAGAACTTTAAAAGTTACAATTGCCGTTTTAAAGCTGCTTTTCAAGTAAATTCAAAAGTCTTGCTCTTAATAGTGATTGCAGAGCTTTTCATCTAGTAAATAGGCTCCTAGTAAAGAAAACACAACAAAAAATATTATCATTACTTTTGGAAATTTTAAATAATGAACTAAATAAAAATGGTGGTTTAAAAGATATCTAATGGATTGCTGGGGTTCCAAGGCAGCAAGTGGAGCTGTCCTACATTAAATTTCTGTCATTATAGCTATGCCAGTTAAGGGCTGGGGTAAGTAAGTATGCCCCAGAGTCCACCATTGGAAACAATGTTGTAGACACTCATAGATGAAGTTACAAAATTGCATTATTTTTGCCACTCTAAAACTTCGTGACCACTGTTGGGATTTTTCATGGTATCTTTCTTAGTACAGTGCTGTTTGAAAAATTTCATAAGTAGAAGTGTGGTCTCGGGCCATTGAGGACAAATGACTTCTAACAATCCAGCATCCACCAGAGGATTTTGTAAGAAATTTTGTTTATTTTCCTCTTTCATTCTTTGCTTTTGGCTCTGTTTGTGTCTTTGCGGGATAAGAGAATCAGTCTGGAAAGGAAGTTGTAGTGGTATTACCAGTGGTTCACCAAACACATTTAACTTAAATTTTTATGGACGTTGTTGTCGAGTAGTAATGACCCATTTGGAAATGCCTGCAGTGAGCCCAAGAATGAGTGCAACTTCCTTTGAAGAGATAAGTCTGAGAAGCGTTTTATTGAAGTACCAGAAGTGAGCCTGTCTCTAATCCTGAGAAATAAAGGGGTTGGGTGCCTGAAGGAGAAGCAGCAATTGTGCATCCTCACACCAAATCTAGAGCTGCTGGGAGGTTTGAGGTCCCAGCTGAGCGTGGGTTTTTCCCAAGGTCATGTTGCTTTTGAGCACATGTTCTCAGAGGGACAAAAAGTTTTGACATCCTCCTCATTCTTCTTGACGCCAGGACTTAGCAGAATGCTACAAGGAGATAATGAGCTGAGCAACAAAAAGTTTATTATAGGAAGATTGTCATCAAGTTTTTGTCTTGTTGGGAGATGAAATTTTGGAGAGCAGCCTAGAATCTCTATTTTCAGCACCTAATAATAAAGATGCTCACCTCACAAAGAAAACCCCTGAAACAGTGTTGAATGCACATCCTAGCCTCCAGCTGTGTCTGTGTGCTCTCCTTATTTAGGGAATTGTTTTTTGCAGGGTGGGGGAATTGAACTGGCAACTGTGCAAAAGGGGGGGAATACTGTAGGGATGGGTAACAGCAAGGCTGTATGGCTTTCCATTAGTGTAACTGATGATTCAAGTAGCCATCAATACTTGGAACAAAATCAACACTGAAAATTCATCTTGGACTTTGACAGCTAGTGTGGATAACTGGAAATCCTAGGGCAATTTTTTCTAGCAGTTCAGAAATTGAAACAATTGTTTGCAAATCAGAGCAGACACAGCTGCCTCCATCTGATGGACTCCAGCACAGCTTCTAATCCAGAGACTTTCAATTTCTCACTGCCATTCAGTGTCTGATTCATCATGTCAGATGGGCTTGATTAATTTTGGCCATTGTTTCCCCACTTGTAAAATGGATGCAATTATAATCTGCTGATTGTAATATCTGACTGCCTCACTTGAGCTATTGTGTGGGTCCGTTAATGTCCGTGCTGTGCACCACAGCTAAGAAACAGCTGGGAAGCAATGGAGCCTGCAAGCGCCAGTGACGACATGTTCCCAGTTGGGTAGCATTGAAAGACAGATTTGTGTACGCATCCCTCCCAGCCTCTAGGGCTTTGAATATAATCACGCTGTCATGATGGGAGTTGGATGTCCCTCTCTGTCAGCCTGACAGGTCAAACCATGCCTGTGCCATGCCCTCTCCCCAAGTGCTGTGCCAGCCCTGGTGCCGCTTCTCCACTGCTGGAGCTTAGGTCCTTCTCCCTCTGCTCCTTCCTCCCTGTGCACCACTTGTCCCTTTCCAAGGACAGGAGCTGTCTGCAGATAACGGACAGAGTGCCTTGGCGGCAGGAAATGGACAGGAGTTGTGGAGGATTGGCACTGCCCAGAGAAAAGTCGTGTTTGGGGCACAGCACCCCAGCGCCGCTCCGTGCTACAGCTGCATGGGCTGCAGCTCTCTGGAGGTTCCCCATATGATCCTCTGAGGATGGGGAGGACAGTGGGAACAAGGGGAGCTGCACCCCAGAACCCTTTTGGTTCCTGGGTCGGAAAGGCTTACAGGCACTAAGATGCTCTGGTACTGTAATACTCACTTTGCTGTGATCCATGGTGACTTGTTTTTATAGCATGCTCAACTGGTATCACCCATGGCTCCATACAAGGCACTTGGACACCAGACTTCTTGCTGAGGTCACTAACATCCAACTCCTTTTTTGTAAAATCTGTTCATCCCTAGCTAATGAAAATAAATGTCTGTCATGTGATACAATGTCTGTTCAGTGCTTCACCTGTCTCTCCTATGATAAAAGGAGACTCTTTAATTTGATAAAGGATTAGTGTAAATGCACTGAGGAGACAAAAATATGAATTGCCTTCCATGTTGAAGATTTAAAGTTATCTTATAAGTTTTCAATAAAATGAACATGATGGGAAAAACAGTTGTTACGTAGGCTTTCTATGCTGTCGTAGTAAGTCATTCTAATGAACAAAATAAATCACAGAATTGAATTTTGCATACCCATTTAGGCTTACTGTCTATTAAAGCAATTGCTATTTAAACAGGAAAAATTGTTTTAAAATAAAATTTTGTAAGATTCAGGACAGATGTTTGCCCCAGGGCTGAGGTTACAACTTTTTGTTTAGTTTTGATGTTCTGAATTTGGTGTAGTAGGTGGCAGAGAGTTGCATCAGCTATCTCAAAGTGATCTTTAAGAGACGTATTGCAAAGCAGAGCCGTACTGCATCATCATTGGTAAAAGCATTGAAGCAGTGCCAGCTCTAATGCTCATGGCTTGGTGAGGATCCTTACTGAGGGCTGCTGTATGGATGCAGTGTACTTCTGTGGCAGTATGGTGTGGTGTAAGGTTGGGAGGGAAATAACATTCAGAAGATTTTACTGAGGGGTCTAAAGCGCTGTTGTGTATAGAAATTCAGATGCCCTTTCTCACCGATGATACTGGGAAGTAAGTGAGCCCCTATGGAGTAGCATAAAGGGTCTAGCAGTAGAGTGGTGATTCGTGTCCCTGAATTGCTGCAGGGTTCAGATGTGAGTGTGAAGCAATGACAGTCAGGGAGTCCTCAACAAAGTGGAGAGAAGCCAGTCTTAATAAAAGCTTTTGTATCATCAGCTGTCATGTGTGTGCTCATGTGTGCAAGCACTTGCACTCTAGTAATGTAACATTTACAGTCCTCAATTCTGAACTATTTACCTTTGTAATCCCTTCTTACTAATTACATTGGTGCATTATTAGCAATTATTTATCTTCATTGTGATTGCTTGGTTACTTGAATGTGCTCTTGTGCACCAAATTCCCTCAGAGTACTTGCAAATAATATGTTGCTCCTACAAAAAAAAAAAAAAAAAAGCAGTGAAAGGGGAACTCAAGAGTAGATGAACTTTGATGTGAGAAACAAGTTGGAATAAGGAAGCACACATAACCTCAAAGTTTATTTTTAACACTAGGTTGGACAGTCTGTCCAATACACCTCATGGATCTGAAAAGTGCTTTGATTGTTCTTACCTTGCTTCAAGTTAAAAAAAAAAACAAAACCAAAACCAAAAAGCAACAACAACAAACAAAGAACCCCTACCTAGGTAATACTGCACAGCTTTAGGTCCTGGTTCCTTGTGAAATAATTTGATTATAGATGTCTATTACTACTTAAGATTTTTAGCAAATAACTACTTCGGTATTTTAGCAAAGTTATGTAGGTTAAAAGGGTGAATGTTTCTTCAGATTGTGTGTGTTACAGTAAGCCAAATTTAATACAGTAACTGTTGTAGTGATTTAGGATTTAAGAGCTGTGATGAGCTTTGATAGTGAGCATTTAAGAGGAAGGGGAAATAACAGACATTCCTTTGTGTAGGCCTCTTGCATCTTGGTTTATGGTACTTATTGAGTTGAAGAAATTGATTTGTGCTTCTTTTAAAATTGGTGGGGAAGGGTCTAGGAACTTTTAAAGCACAGACCTGTGATCTGTTATGTGGTGGAAATGTGGGTAGGAAATGGTATTGAACAATTCTGGTTGACGTTTCATAAAAATACCTTACTTATAAGCAGTGCTCATCACAGAGTTTTAACTATCCCAAGCCTTTATGATGATGTTCATCATAAGAAAACAGAATCTTGTCACAGTAAATTATTATTTTAATAGCATTTGAAATATGTCCTCAGAAATGCTGGCTCTTTCAGGTTATTTCTGTGTTGAAATTTCCTTGCAGATGAATTACTTCAGAAAGAACAAAACTATTCTGATGATGTTTTGGCCAATATGATCAGCGAACCCAGAATCAGCTATGGAAATGATGCTCTCATGCCTTCACTGACAGAAACTAAGACCACAGTTGAACTTCTTCCAGTGGATGGAGAGTTCAGCCTAGATGACCTTCAGCCATGGCATCCCTTTGGTGTTGATTCTGTTCCAGCCAATACTGAAAATGAAGGTATGTACAGTAGGGGGAGAAATCACAGAATATTTTTTGTTTAGCTTTGTGATTTCTCTTCACATTGTTCCCTGAAAATTGACACGTTTCTCATGTAAGCAGGATAGAGGTTCTTTCTCAAATGTAAATTTAGAGCTGGTCTTCCCTGTCAATTGTGTCTCTTTGATGGAACAGAAAATCATGACTAAAATTTGGAATTTAGACCTACAATACATTTCAGTTTTGAGCTTGCTTTCCTTTAAAAACAAATCAAAATAAACTCCAGCAAATTATGAGTGACAGTCTTGTAAAATAATGACAATGAGCTAAGGGAGATAGATAACTTGTTAGATTTGTGCTGTGATGAAATGAGTGTTTTAGGTAAGGAAGAGCTTTTTATTTGCTGGCCTGAAAATGATTACAGATCCACCAGAATCCTAGCATGAGAGATTATTTTATTTCCCCCTCATCACTGGTTGTCTGGAATGTACTGCAGAAGTGTTCCTGCATACTCAGCAATGCAGCTGGCTTGTGAAAACTTTTCCTGAGGAGTATTTTATGTTGCTCATGGACTAACTTATTTAAGTGACTGCATAATACTTTAATAATTTCTGTATAATCTGGAATTGGTATTTTAGTTAGGTGCCAGAGCCAATTAATCAGAAACCTCAGGGACTTCGATCATGTCATTCAGGTACTCTCTACTGTTTGTTTTCCTTTATCAGTTTAACTCTACCATCATTAGTGATAAGTGAGTCTCAGTAGTGAAAGTTTGTTGCTGCAAAGCAGCTGTGGATTCACACAGGCTGGAGCTACAGAATTCTTTTTTCAGGCAAATTTCTGTTTTGTGGATCTGTGATTTGTGATTTGTAGCTGAACTGTACAGACATTAACATGCTCAGAAGTCTTGTGAAACCACTGGCTTGGGCTATACTTTCTTTCAGAATGAGAGTTGAGACCAACCTTATGCAGTTGTAGTCTCACTCTAGCATGATGAGTGAGTGACTGTGGGCAGCTGAGTGCTTGGGAGATGAAGAACAGAACTTGGGCATGGGTTTGCCAGGTTAGGGGTTGGGGGTTGGTGCCAGGTGGAATCAATGGAGTCAGAACCAGTTTTGGGATCAAGGTGGGTCATCCCCAGGAGTCAAGAGAAGACTAAGATCAGACAGAAGAAAAGACATGGCTAGGATCTGAGCAAAGGTCAACAAATCAGTGAGGCAGAAGTATACCAGATTTGAGGGGAAGAGGAGAAAGCTGGTCAGGAGTGGGGCTATAATCAGACCTCTAGGGAGTTAGCACTACAGGTAGGGACCAAGAAAAACAGCAGAGAGAGCTGGAGCAAACTCAATGCATTGACTGGCCAGCAGCAAGAACCAGAAGACAGGATATGGTGACAAGGACTCCAAACATGTCTGGAGGGCACTTGCAGGCAAGGGCAGCTGGCTGGATTGCGTCAGGTGCCAGCGCGTAGTACGAAATGGCTGACCAAGCTGGCAGGCTAAACTTCAATTTCCTGGGAAATGAGCTGCAGCTCGCTATAGCACACATGTCAAGGCTGTCTGCCAGAAGCAGGCCACAGTCTGGCTGGTGGTGTCTGTACTGCAGGAATTTTCCAATACAGCACTTGCTGCGGTTTCTCCCATAGCTGGGGCATACAGGACATCAATTTCTATACCTGCTGCCTGCTTTCATCGGACATGAGGGCGGGGAATTAATTACTTTCGAAGTCTGTCCTCCCAGCTTCCAAAATTTACTGATTTCAGTCACCAAGTTCAGGAGTTGTTGGGTAGACAGGTGTACCCAGACATACCCACAGTTTAATCACACAAGCCTTCTTTTCCTTCAGAAACCTGGCTGAGCCCAGAATTTAATAATGAAAGGTACATACTTCAGTGTGACACTGAATTCCTGTAGACAAGTACATTGAATGTGGTTCTCCTTTTAAACTGTGTGACAACAAAAAACCAAAAAAATCTCCTGCCTTAAGTAACACACTGTTCAATTATGAATCCTGTGTATTTTAATGCACTACACTATTTGTTGCAGCACTTCTTAGTGTTTACTGTGGGAACATCTTTTAACTTTCATGCCATTAAGTTGTTGCAGTTTAGTGATTCTTTTAATATCAGGATTGTATTTGTCATGAAGCTACTGTGGCAAACAATTCTGTTAGGCCAACTGTTATTAGTATTTAAGTCTGCATAGTTAGAAATTATTTGATGACTTAAACTTCTTCAAGTCCTTCTTGTTTCCTATTATATTTCTCTGTCATCTACCCAAACCACAATGCTGTTAACGTGATCATGCCTACAATACCTTCTTTCTCTCATTAGATACCCTCTCTATACCTTTGCTTGTAGTATCAAAGGGGAATTTCACAGCCTCATCTTTTTCCTTTGTGTTTGTCTTCCACCTCTTTGTTCCAGAAACCCAGGACTAACTGTGCCATTTGTCCTCACTTCCCATGCCTGTTTTCTTCGATGGCCATGGTCTAATACTACGCTTGTCTAAATGGCTTCCAAAAATGTCTATCTGCCTTATTATGATATGCTTTGGAAGCAGCAAGAAGCAAATAACAATTGACACAATTTTCTCCTTCTCTTTTTTCCTCTCCCTCTCCACTGAAGGTCTTTTTGCATAGTCTGTTTTTCCACTCAGGAAGTTCTACTTATTGTGAAATTACTGAGCAAGTCATTGCCATTTTTTAACAAATAACCATTCATCAAAAAAAGTGTAAATTCAAAAATCATGTGCTAGGGAAACCTCAAATAGTATTGAGTGACTAACCATTGCAGTATTAGTGATAGTCAGCATCTCTTGCTGCTGGGAGGTGCTGAGCATGCCAGCAAAAGTCAGAGAACCGAGCTTCTTGGCTCGCATTTACTTGGGTGAGGTACTTGGCACCATCAAGAAAATCACAGCACGTTCCATGTGATTGACCTGGTATCTGGGAAATCTGCCAAGCGGTTGGTCCAGCAGATTTAACAGAGACTACCAGATGAGTTTCAGATGGCAAGCAAGTTACAGGTTCAGTTGTCGATACTGTTTTGGTCTAGTTTGAAAGCTGAAGTCAACTTTTTTTAAAAGTCTGCTGAACAAAAATCCAGAGTGCTGTCAGGTGGGTTTCTAAGTAGAATGAGAGTCTCAGCTTCCTCACTGCAAAGAGCTGTTGGCACTGTATAAGCAGTAGTTCTCTTCAATTTTGAGCAGGCACAGCAGGTAAATCATTTACCTCATTACAATTTGCATTATTGTCAAAACAAATTTCTAATGGGACCAATGGTGCCTGAGAGGCAACTGCACAGATCCCGGGGCTGTCTGGGTTAGGACCTGGGATCCCACCCCCTCTGGCACAGTCACAGCGACAGGACTTGTTTTTAACAAATCATTCAGGGAATGCTTAAACCAAAATGTGACTGGAAAAAGTGGGAGGAAATGCAGCTGTTAAGTCTTTGTTTCAAAGTATCGAGTCTTCTGTGTACAAGCAATGAAGTTCAAATACTACGAAAAGTACCTTAAATTTGTCATTAGTTCTCATGCCTGTTTTCTTCCATGGCTATAAACTAATCCCAGGTTTCACCCAGAGATATTAATAATGTATTGGATTGGTATGTCACCATGTAGTCACAAAATTTCATAACTCCATTTGAAATTTTCCCAATCTAAACTACATGTTTAGACAAAAGGATGTTTTATGCAAACAGCTTATTTTACAAAAATTGCTTTTGCTGATGAAAGAGTGAAAAATAGCCTAAAATGAAGAATGCCCCTTCAGAGGTGGGTGCAAAACCCCCACAGCTGTGAAGCTCTGACACTGTCAAGGTCTCTGGGCATTTTGCCAATGACTGATTGGGTTTAGTGTTTTAGCCTTTGTATTTTACCATGCAGATACAGTTAGCCTTAGTGACAAAGTATTTATCTAAATTATTTTTATCCTTATAACTTGGCCAGAGATTTATCCTTATGACTTGGCCAGTTATTCCCTTCAACACTGTTCTTAGTAGGTGAGCATCACATAGCTCTCCTCGCCTGCTGGTTTATACCAGCTTTGAAGATTTTTGATTCACCTTTATTTTATTTTTGAAAAGAGAAGGAATGACATTCTCTCTTGCTCTTCTGAGATGTATTAGCATTAGATGTGAGGTGGTATGTGTACCCTGTATGAAGGCTCTATAGTCAGTGTATATACCAATAGGCAGTGTATATACCAATAGCCTATAGGCAGGTATATACCAATTTAGTTTTGTGAGGCTATTTGGAAAATATCTTTTCAATCTTAATTATATGTACTTCTGTGCACATGGAAGTGTGTTCAAGAGAAATATTATTCTGGAGCATCAAAATGAATGCAGTTTTTTTTAATAATACACAGTACATCTTAGAGTTTTGATTATGGATAAATGCTGTAATAGGTTTAAACTTTTCCTCTCTATATCAACTGTTGTGAGGTGATGTGGTCCAGAGGGGCAGGCAGTAAGAAAGCCCACAGACAAGATTTTTCAGAGTTAACTGCCATTCATGTGTACATCAATACCAGGGCAAGAGCAAGCAGGTTTTTAATGCAATCGAAATTTGACAGGTGGCAGCTCAGGACTCCAAAAACCAACCTTTCTTTGTTATCATGATGGCTGGAATCACAGTCTGCTTTGGAAGACCCTTGGCTATGAGCTTTTGCCTCCAGTTTTAGCCCTGCAACTGGTTTGTAACCTTGAGCAGGTCATTTCACTTTTGTGTCACTTAAGAAACATGCTGGTGATGTTTGCCTTTTCCCCTGTGAAGTGTTTCCAAAACTCACAAGATTTGACAAGAAGAATTATTCATTATTAATACTAACTCCACAAATACCACATTACCCTAAAATTAAGTCCATGCTACTGTACAACAGAAATTTCCTCCATCCTTTTCTCCCTTCACCTCTTCCCATTTTTATTGCCACTCACAACCTGCTCTCTCAGTTCACCATAGCATGTGGGATTACAGTGTAGAGCAAGAGGGAAATAAAACCTTTCAGCCTTCTAGGGAAGAGATAGGGGCCAGGGTGACAGAGGAAGGTTCTCTACAGGAGCAGTTTGGCTAATGTTGGTCCTTGATTGTTTCTTCCCTTCAGTCCTTTCCACTGAAAATTACTGCTGACCTACCTGAGGATTGGTGCCAACAGTACTGGAAAACCTAGCAGAGGACTTAAATAGGAAAATACTCAAAGCTGTAGTTTTCAGTTAAGGATGGATATTGGCTTTTTTATAGCACTATGTAAGGAAAGCAGTTGGTCTGTCAATGCCCCTCTGAACTGCTGTGAAGGAAAGTGGTTTGATGGATTGTCTCTGCAGCACTGGACCAGCAAGCTCTGTAAAAATTTTGCCCTTCTGGAAACGCAAGCAAATTGGATATGCAGATGCACTTTTACTCTACAGTTACTATAAAGCTGACTTACTGCTTTTTGCCAGAGGCAGGAGCTATTGCAGTCATCTCCTGTGTACAAAGGACATGGGTGGTACAGGGACTCTCACGAGTATGATAGGTTGTTGGTCAAACCCATAGGAATACTAAGCAAGTGACACAGACTTCCTGCGAAGATGGGCAGTCCTCTTGCATAAGTCAGCAGCATCGTCAGATTAGCATGATTTTCTGATGCTGAATACAGTTCGTGATTGCAAACTGTGCTTTTGTCAAGTGTCCTATGTTGTTGTGGCTTACTGCTGATTAGAACATTCATACTTGAATCCTGAAATGCAAATGAATGATAATACCTTATTTTAAAAATTCTGAATTCTGAGCTACAATGTAAAATTTTATTTCTGAATTTAATTTTTTTCTGGCACTGGCACTTAGGTAGATAAGGAAGGCAACAGTACTGGAGAAAAAGAGAGAAACAAGAAAAAAAAGGTGGGGGGAGGGCAGGGGTGGCAGGGAAATCTGAATGTTTTAATAAACTCCGTTATGTTCAGTTTGTACTTAACTGAGGCAAAAGGTTAATGACTCTGACATCTCCAAAAGTTTTCTGTTTGTTATTAATGCCAGTGAACCAAATCAACCTTAGATTTCATCTGGTAAAGTCTTAGAACGGTAAGACAAGAGTTATAAAACTGTGTATGACTCACAATTGCATATAAAGTAGTGCTTCTCCTTTGCTTCCCTTTCAAAAATCAGAATGCAAATTTACTGGCTACAAATAGGAGTATATCAGAACTAAGTATTGATTGTATTTTCAAAATGTACTTTACTTTTTTCAAACCTTATAGGTAGTGCTATAATGAAGCCCTATTGAAAGGAAAAAGGAGTCGGGATTCAGTGGGTTTATAAGTGAGCATTGATCAAGACTGGCTGCAAGAACTCACTCATGTCTGTTCTTGCTGCCAGTTCTGATCAGACTGCTGGAAAACGTTTGCACATAATGAATATAGTTTCACTCTATAGACAGAAATTCTTTGATCTTGATGGTTTCTCACTTCAAGCAATAACCAGAATATGATGTAAAATTAACACATCATAGTGTTCCTTTTGAAGTCATGCCCATACCTTCCTTTTATTTCCAGGATTAACTGAGGGCAGATCTTTTCTAGCTGTTGCTTTAGTAAGTTTGTTTATGCAGTGTGTCTGTCCTGCACTGTCCCAGCAGAAGAGCATTTGACCTTATTGTTTTGGGGGATTTTGTTTATTTTTGTTTGCTTTTTTGTTTCTTTTCTGCACATGACCAGTTGAGCCAGTTGATGCCCGCCCAGCTGCAGACAGAGGACTCACCACACGACCAGGTATATAATTTGCATGGCTTTTACCTAACCTGTGTTTTCCCAGCATGCATGTGGTCTACTTGAGCTGAAACAATCACTTTTTCTTTGATATAACCCTCTCTTAAAATATAATACTGTGCCATGAAGCAGGGAAGCAGGCCCACACAAACCCCCACCAGCTTGTGTGAGAGTGCTGTCTCTGTCAAGGGTGTTCAGAATGGGTACTTGCAGAGGCAGTGGGACCCAGAGACCCAGAACTGATATTCATAGAATCGTAGAATGGCAGGTTGTCATCCCTTCTAGCAACAATGCTTTGGCAGGTGCAGGAGGCAGTAAACACAGTACCCATAGTGCAGAAACTACTTTTAATTTGGGAATGTATGATAGAAATATCAAATCCTCTATGTAGAGTATACAGTTTCTTCTAAGCTGGGGCTGATAAAGAATTAATGCACACAATTTTAGAATTGCAAGGGACATCAAGATTTTTTGCTGTGGTATTTATCTTGGCTAACTCCAGGTATCTAAAAATTTATACGTATGTTCTCCCTCTGGATTCACTGAGGACACCTCAATATGACTATTCATTCCACTCTAGGATAGAGAGGGGTGATTATTTGCCCTCTGTTGGTACCTGTGTTTTCCTGTTGATTTCAGGGTAATGGCAGATGAGTACCTTGAGTCAGGCTGCAAATGTTTGGAAAAGTTAAATGGAACAAATCCAATTTTCAAAAGTAAAAGATTACTTTTCGTACTAACTTTTTTTGCTTTTTAGGTTGTTTTTCCCCTTGTTCTTGTTTATGCTTATCTGGAAATGGCTGATTCCATTGAGAGCAAACAGCCTTTTATTTCAGAAGAGATTACTCTACAACACATAGTGAGGTTAGATCAGTATATTTGAGGCTCAGAATTATTTCAGTGTCACGTCATCATCACATTTTTTTCTTCAGATCAGCTCAAACTGATCAATCTGTGTTCTTTTTCCCTTCATCTTTTCCTCCAAATGTCCATTAGACAGTATTACGAGCAACACCCTCCTAGTGTGTTTAAATCTTTCTGATAACTCACTGGTGTTTACTGACTACAGAAATTTACAGTGGGAAGTAAAATAAGCTCATATGTTACAGCAATTGAGATGCATGTCAAGGCTGGTCACGTGATGTGCTCATAGCACTGTTTTAGGAGTCTGACATCTGTACTTGTGTTGAGTGTCTTAATTCATTCCATGAAGAGAGCTAGCTGTACAACAGTGCTGAAAATCATGAGATCAGGTAACATCCCCCCAGTATTGGGTTATCTCTGCCTTCTGAATTAGATTTCTTGCCCAAGAGCAGTAGAAATATCATCACAAATGAAATATGAATGTGTTTAATCCCAGTTCTGTAATGTTAGTTCAATCTAGCAATTTTCTTGTAATACTAAGGTTTGTGATTTTTAACTGTTTTCATTTCAGTCATCTTGAAAAATCTCCTGTTATGAGGCCCATATTTATTACTAAGGATTATTCTTTCCTCCTTTCTGTTCCCTGACACATACACACATGACAGAAATCTTTGGTGTCCCTTCTCTAAAGAAAGGATTTTCTCACACTGCTACACTAATTTCAGAGTGACATGATGTGTTTTAGTCCAATGCATCAGAGTGCTTTGTTGGTTGGGGTGATACAAATAGTAGTAAAAATATGACTAGCATAAGTCATGACTGATCTTTGTGAATGTGTATGATAGACTACTGAGGAGAGGTAAAAAATATTTCAGCCTGTGACCATTATGCCTTAAAATTTCCAGCAGAGACACTGAATTTTGCACTATGAAAATCATGTGGGATATTTCCTCATAGTGCAGAAGTAGTACTGTCCAGGGGTCTGTGCAGCCTCCATAGCTTTTAGCGCAGAGTTTAAGTGCTACAAAGGTCCATTCTCTGCTTTTGGCACAGAGCGAACCCCTCCAGCCTGGCAGCAGGAGTACACACCGCATTCCTCTGTGCAGAGGGATGGTTGCTTCCCTGGAGAGACTGAATCCTCTCAGTGCTGTGCCTGCTTTCTGAATTTCACAGCGTAAAGTGCCTTACATATGCATGTGAAATAGGGATTTTGCCCCTTTACAGTAGTACTAAACATATCCTAATAGTAACCAAAACGTATTGTCTTCACCATTCCTGGTAGACCTTAAGCTCCTTATGTCTTTAATCACCATGTGCAGACTTGTGCAAACTTGTCCTTAATGGTGAAAATTCCAGCAATAAATGTCCACCTGACTTTTCCATCATCCTTTAAAAACAATTTATCTGTGATAAAATCTCAGTTTAACAAAAAACTGATAGCAGTCTGAGCAGCTTCATAAGTTAGAATCACAGAATCACAGAATGTTGTGAGTTAGAAGGGACCCACAAGGATCATCGAGTTCAACTCCTGTCCTAGCACAGGACAATCCCAAGATTCTTAGGAACAGAGGAGAGCAAATGGATGCTTAATTAAACTGTGAAATACAAAAGGGGTTCTCATGGTTTAAAAATGTGTGCTCTAAAATTGTTTTACTTGCTAATTATAAACAAAATTTCTATGCTAGAGGTTAAAAGAAGAAAAAAGATGTTTGTTTGGGGTTTTTTTGCTGTCGCTGTCCTTTTGGGATAGTCAGTTTTTACCGTTTGGGGTAAAGTAAATTTTACAGTAAATCTGAAAAATTAGGATATTCTAGAATGAAAAAATATTAACAAGGAACCTGGAGGCAGATCAATACATTCAGTTGCTTGTAATTTTTTGTTTTGTTTTAATTGCCCAGACTCCTATTGATTTCCAGAAAGGTTTGTCATTTTCATAGCCCTGACTTTTCAGTTAGTGCCTCTACTTGTTTTGCTCAAGTGAACAAGACGGTGATCTGCTGCTTCAGGGTGAAAATACCGGTGTCCAGTCCAACAGTCCCAGTCTGGGAATAAGAACAAGTGAATGTTTTGTAGGTGTTCAAAATCCTTGGATAAAATCAGCTCTGAAAGGACTAAGACAAGGATACAAACGCATGTCCTTTTTTCTTTTTCCATTTTCTTTTTACCACTTTTCACTCACACAACAGTCTTGCAATGATCACTACATTTTTCTTAAAAGTAGATCAAGGTCATGCAGATGATCTTTGTCCCTTTCCCACAAGAGAGAGCATTTGGTCACAGTACAGAAAAGAAGAGCAAGTACTTAGTTGTTTGTAACACTTATGATAACTAGAATCTCATTACTTCACCACATTGTTCTCTCTCATTAATAAATACATAAATTAAGTCTATGAGTTAAGTCAGGAAATTTGAAGAGTTGTCCAATCTGTAGAGCAGAAAAGCTTTTGAGTAAGGACAAAGTTTAAAGCATTTACTAAATTTAAACCAGTTTCCCAAAGCTCTACCTCTGTTGCACTCCACCTTGGCTACCAGTGGTTGAAACTTAAATTTGAACCTGATTTACCTCAGTCCCATGAGGAGAGTAGTGTCTGGGGGACTCCTTTTTCCTAGTATAGATATATCTGTGTGATTCACACAGGTGTTTGAAAAGGAGCCAAGTACTTCCACACACTGTCCTTCCCCTGTTTAATTCACAAATGGGAGAACAAAAATAATAAGAATTATGCCTAAATCACTTTCTTGTCATCTCTTTCCTGAAAAGGAAGTAAACAGAGATGGTAAAATGTCAAAGAGAAGGAAAATATCTAGTCATCAGTGAGCTATTTTTTAATACAGTACAAAATGATACGATTTATGACATGTTTCTTGGTATTTATAAATTGCTCCATACAGGAAGATGTTAGAAGGCTTCAGTCCAGGCTGAGAACTTCCATAAGAAGAGTTTCAAATAGAAAGCATACCTCTTCTCACTGTAACAGATTTTTCAGTAGTGTTTTCTTCTGCCCCTGTGCCCCAGAGGTCACTTTTTCTTGGTGAACATTTAATTTCTTGCAGCTGAATTTTGGGTATGTGTTTTTTAGTAACTTTTTTCTCTTTGTGTGCGTGTATATATAGAGACAGACATATACACAAAGATACGTATAAAAACATGTTTAGATACTCAAAAGCAAGCTCCTTTTTACTCAAGTAAATTCAGGAGGTCTGATTTGTGGAAATTGAGTAAAGATTAGAAAACCTGCCATCAGAATGGAGGGTTAGTATCAACAGATTTTCTGAACTTCAAAGTGATAAAGAGGATACCAGTGCTTTGTTAAGTGTAGATCATATTCTCCTCTGTTGAACAGTTGCTATTGTAATTACACCACTGACAGCTGTAATTATATCACTCACAGGATGCCCATAATTCACAGTGCAAAGATTTTATGATGTTGACTGTGTTACTTTCTTCCATGTAGTATAGTTTGGGGCCAGGGGGGTTCGTTCTCCCAACTCTTTGTCAGTTGATTGTTTTTGCAGTCAGTCAATAATTTTGAGGAGAAATTACACATAAAGCTGCTCCTGTGTTTCTGGCTCTTCCACTGATAAATCAGGATATGTCTGTCTTTATTACATTATATAGAAAGCTGAGGGATTTATTTTATACATGGTTGCAGAGGCTCTGTAAGCCTAATAGCTGTTCTGCAGAATCATTAGCACATATGCTGCAGTCTGTATGAGGTGAGGGCATAGAGCAGCTTAGTGAATTATTTATGATTTTCTTGCCAGAAATTGACTGGGTTTCTTTTCCTGTCTCAGTGATGTTAGTTCAATACAGTTGTCTTAAGCCAACTGTCTGCAGCTACCAAATGAAAATCATTACTGGATTTTTTTCCATTAGATTGTTTGGTTTTTGGGTTGGGTTGGGCGGGATGTTTTTGGTAGTGAAGGAAGGACCCACCTTGTGTTAAGCTTCAAAGCTCCCCAGCTCCCAAGGCGAACTCCCCCAGCACAGGCTAAGCCAATTAGCAATAGAGAAAGCTTCTGCGAATCCCTATTTGTGATGGGAAGGACTGTCTTGAAAATAAGGTGGAGTGAACCTGGAGGAGAGGCCATTTACCTGAAAAGAAGATGACCATCAGCCTAAACAAAGGGAGAGATTC